ACTGATTAATTGTTCTCACTGTCATTAGAATTTACTCCTTAGTTCTAGGTTGCTTCTCTCCCTGATTAGTTTCCACCCATTTCTTCTTGTCCTGCCTTCAGGTGCTTTAGAGAATAATGTAACTCCCTCTTTTTTGTGGCAACCCCTGAGATATTGGAAGACTGCTATCATGTCTCCCCTAGTCCTTCTTTTCATTAAACTAGACATACCCAGTTCCTGCAACAGTTCCTCATATATTTTAGCCTCCAGTCCCCTAATCCTCTTTGTTGCTCTTCTCTGCACTCTTTTTAGAGTCTCCACATCTTTTCTACATCGTGGCGACCAAAACTGAATGCAGGATTCCAAGTGTGGCCTTCCCAAGGCCTTTTAAAGTGGTATTAACCCTTCACGTGATCTTGATTCTATCCCTCTGTTTATGCAGCTGAGAACTGTGTGTGTTTATTTATTTGTTTGTTTATTTGTTTATTTATTTGACTTATATATCGCTTCAATTTTTTTATTTTACAAAATAACCAGCTTCAAATTTGTACATGCAGGGTAACCAAATAGATAAGAGCGTGGAAAAGCTGTTAGATTAAAAAAAATGGGTGAAGGGAACTCTTTTCTAAACAGTTTATGAAAGCTCTATATAGTAAGCTATATTCTCCTCACAAAGGGGGCAAGGGGAAGAAAAGGAACGAGAGACGGATGGATACTTACTTTTGAAATATGAGTTCTGAGTTCTTGGAAAAATGACTCCAGAAGAGACATATTATGGAGGCAGAATGGCTGATAGATGTTTATTCCGAGAGTTTCCGAAAGGAGGCCTTGCAGAGACGCATTCACGGAGAGAACCTCACAGATGGCAACTTTCAGGTTGGTTTGAGAAGACTCTTGTTTCTGCAGCCAAGTAGTAAAATTGCATGTAAAGGTAATGAAGTAAAATTATTTTGTCTGACTAGATACAGATTTTCTAAAATGAGTTGATCAAATGTTTGGAAGAACATGATGCAAGTAGTCCTTGACTTACAACAGTCGCTTAGTGACTGTTCAAATTTAAAACAGCACTGGGAAAAATGACTTATGACCGTTTTTCACACTTACGACCTTTGCAGCAGCCCCATGGTCACATGATCCAAATTAAGATATTTTGGCAACTGACTCTTTATGGTGGTTGCAGCATCCCAGGGTTGTTGCCACCTTCTGACCAGGAAAGTCAACGGGGAAGCCAGGCTCACTTAACAGTCTCATCCTAGACTTTCCAGAGTTCTGTCCCTTTCTCCAAGGGGGAAAACAATCCAGTGCCCCTCCCTCTCATCAGGCTTGTGAATCAGGCTTTTTCCATCCCTTTTATGAAAATGAAACAATTCTACTTACTAGACTCTGTCCCACAACCCCAAAAGCCCACAGCTGCTCCCTGTGCCTGTTTACACGGAGTCAGGCATGTTTGTCTCAGTCTGTGTTCAAGTTCATTTGAACAAAATAAAAGTACTTTATATATGATCTCTACTTCTGCGCATGCCTCTGATAACCATAATTTTTCATAAAATGACTAGAATTTCATTCAGTGGAAAACAGGCCACACTTTGCAACTAGGGAATTTTTCTAAAATAACAACTACTTAGCATTGGAATGGTCCCTTACTAAAAAAAAGTAATAATTTTTTTTAAGCAAGGGACTATTGGGTTGTGACTTCAACAATGCTGCGAAGATATAGAAAGATGGAGCACGGAGCTTTTGCACAAAAGACTGATTATAAATCCAATCCAATCAGCCCTTTCTATTATTGGAAGAGAGGGAGGTAATAAATAGCTCTACAAAGGGAATGGCTGCTTCATTATCAGTAAACCAGCAGGTGGGGGGGGGGGTGGCTTTCCTGGTGGATGAACACAACTGATACTCCTACTAGCATCATCTAACATTTCAGGTGCTGTGGCTTCCAGGTGCATATAGCTTTTTAGAAACATACACTTTTTTCCCTCTGATTTTATGTTTTACTTGAAAACCAGCATGGAGCATGGATTTTGAAGCTGACCTAGAAGATGAGATACCCTAGCTTTCTTCAAGATGGTTAAGATTTCAGTTATTTTAAGTTTAAGTACAAATAAATTTGTTTCATGCTGTACTATTTGCAACACTAATATAAATTATTTTGTTTTTATTGGATAATCAGAATTATCATTTTTGCTATATTCAGCACATATGGGAGTATACTCATAGCATAAACAAATGAAATTTGGGTGCTTTTTCAAACTAAAATATTTATTTTATTTCCTCATAAAAATATTAAAATGTATATACCTATATTAACTTTAGGTAAAATGGGGCATTTAAAGATGACTCTTTATATTTAGACAATTACCTCTGCTAAAGTGAGAATCTTGTTAAGCAAGTATATTCTGTCATAGTTGGTTGATGATGAAATATTTTCAGTAAAATCTTTCAGACTGAATGTTGAATCAAGTATCTCTGTAAGTGAAAGAAGAAAATGTTTTACCTCACCATTAAAATATAAAACCTGCAATGAATTATAAAGTATCACAAAGAGGAAGAACCCAAATTGTTCGAGCAGAGTTGCTCAAAATTCCCATGAATTTTAATGTAACAAGAAGTAATTCATGGCCCAGGGAGGAAATGGAATAACATATAGAATAAGTACATAGAATAACATTGATACTACTGAGTAAATCAGGTGTATTGCTACAGACTCAAAACAAATTATTACTGCATGCAATATTTGTAAAGAAAATATCTAAGTTTGTGCAATAATTTTAATAAATATCATGTAATCCTCCTATGTAATAAATGTATACATTATGGCACAATGATACAATATATTATACTATTAAATATACTACTCTTATATAATATTACAATTAAAAGGACTATTTACTTCAATATATAAAAATGATAAATAAAAGAGACATTTTAAATTATGGGGAGGGGTGCCTGGAAAACCTGCCAATAAATCTAATTGGCAAATGTGACCGGTGACAATTGGGGAAGGAATTATTTCCTATTTTAATTATACTGAAACCACGGGAAAGATTTAGAGTTGATTTTACATTTGACCGTGCCAATATGATGTACCCAATAAAGAAGTTCTTTGAGGAAGATTCCAGGCCCGGAGTTCTGATTTGCTTGGGTTCATTCTTTGGAACCTTGAATTAAAGCAACACTCTCAACCTCTGCCCTGAAGAAGGGGGAACCCTCCAGGGCCCTGAGCCCTGAGCCACCTACCTGGTTGCTTGGGCAAGTCAGAGAAGACTCAGGGAATATTCCAAGAAGGAGAAGAAGGGGGAAGCCCCCGCCAGACCTAGTGTGGCCACGGCTGCTGCAGTGCAGCCAGCAAGCCAAGCTACATGGTATTGGACCTGGGTACTTGAGAGACCGCCTTCTGCCGATTACCTCCCACAGACCCATTCGAT